GATCAACTGAGCAATTTTAAATAGAGTTGAGTTGAAAGTGTTTAGTATAACTAGGAAGCCTAGACCAACACCAGCTACTAGTTTTCCCTCTTTCCTTCTGAACTAGATTAGATCAACTGATAATAGCTCACATCTTTGGAGCACTTTGACATGGCAGTCATTGCTTTATGTGCATTATACATATTATCTCAACAAACCTTTGACATCAGTATTTTATTAATGTCATCTTACGTGTCAAGGCCCAGAAATTGGAAGTCTATACAGCTAACAAATGAGAGAGCTAGGATTTGAACTTAGGCCATAAACTGGCACAGTGTCCGATTTCTGCTCTTTTATCTGAAAAAAAGTATTTACTTGTATTAGTTACCTAGTACATTTCTTGGTGTTGACTTATATTATGATCCTGTTGTATTTATCCCAAACAGAATCTGTTTTATGTCATCTGTTTTTTATCACTTTATTATTATTCACTAATCACTTTGTTATCCTGATTCTTGATTGCTAACAACTGAATGGTACTTGATTTTTCTACATGGAAATTATCTGCTCTTAGCCTAGATACTTATTTCAATATTCCTACTATTGAGAAAATAGATTTATTTCATAAATTCTTAAATATGATAGTAGTCCATTTTCATTTGGTTTTGTTACAGAATAAAATGTCTTCATATCTGAGTTTTCCACATGACTAATCATACCTTTTGAAATGCCAATTCTAAAAAAAGGAAAAAAATGATAATATTTTGAAGGATTTCTGAGATGACTTTCTTAAAAAAATAAGTCCAACAGAATCTTTCCGTTATGACTCAGAATCATCCTGATGAATGCCTGTTATTTTACTATTAAGCAATTCACGTTTGTCTACTTTTTAGTATTTTTATTTCCTTAATATCATATCAACCACTGTCATTTTTTTTTCTCTTTAGATTTTCTTCTAAAATAATTCTCCCTATATACTAATTACATTTATGTTGTGGGTTGGAAATAAAACAATCATATTTTTAGGTCCATTCACTTAAAATAAAAGCAAATATCATATGTCAGGAACAACAATTTAGGATTTAGTGAGAACTATTTTTGATTATTATTTTCTTGACTTGGAAATATTTTTATCACTTCAGAATTATGAGTTATGTTTGGGAGGGGCTGAATCTACTAAAATTTGAGTCTCTAGACAAGAAAAATAGTCCTTATTTTTTAAATTATTAATAAATATAGAGCACTTTACACTGAAGTACTCAAACCTATTTTATAATATGCTCTTCATTAACATTTTGAAGGAGTTGTGGTCAAAGAAAGTTATGCTATATAGAATTCTCTTTACTTTTAAAGTTTGTTGATAATTCTGTTGCTTCAGGTTTTGAGGTGAAATAATGCTATGAATGCATAGAGCTTTCCAAAGTTGCACAAGGCTATTTACATAGTAACTGTTCTTTTAAGATGAATTTTTATTTCTCATTATGCTTATGTGTTGGATATCCAAACAAAAAATAAACTGGAGTTTCTTGGTAGGTTTGTTGTTGAACTTTAGCTGTGTGGGCAAGGCAAATAACACATGTTGAAGAAGATTAATTAATGATTATTTTGCTGGGAAGAATAATGTTGCTGAGCCATCTGGTATACCTTTGTTGGGAGGGCCATCTCAATGGATTACTCATTAAAATCTTTCAATACTTTGTTCCAAGACTGTCAGTCATCTCTCAGGTTCTTATTAAATTAAGATGATGCTGAAATTTAGGAGTAGTTAGATCACAGGATATTGTGTCTCCATGTTTATCACTGACAATAAACAAGTCAATCATGAGAATATGACTCGAAGCCACTCTCAGATCTTAGTGTCATTTATGCCATTAATATCATCATTATCTTTTCCTATCACAAAATAGCTACAGTGCTACAATGACCCCACTTCAAAAGCCTATGAAAGTATTCTGAAAAGACAATATGAACATCTATATTATCTCAGAAGAGTTCTGCAAGCTGTTCATAATCACAACACAAAATAATTAGATTGGCATTTTTCCATATAGCACTGTTTTTTTGTATTCTTGGTGGGCCATTTATACATAAATATACTTAATATTTCATTTAGTAATATTGATTCAATAGCTATTTTTTTCTGTTGACAAACTGCCAAGTGTATAGTCTTAAACAAAACAGAAAATTTGCCCCAAATTTCTGATTTTCTAGCAAGTCATTTATTCTGCCCTGGAGGACAGGTCATCTGAAGTTTGTACTCTGGAGCCCCATGCTCCCTGTAATCTCAATCTCTCTAGGTTTCTATTTTCCGTAAGACCTTGGAATAATTTTATAAGCCTTGTTAAAGATGAGTCTTCTTAAATACTATGTCAAGTGGTTTGACTTTCCCTCCACATACAAGGTATGTATGACTCATGTAGAAACTAAAGTTTAATCTTAGATATAGACTCTCACCAATATAACTCTACTGAATACAAGGCATGATGCCAAATTATCAAAACCAATCACCTTAATCATAAAATTATAGATCATGTGTATTTATTAGAAGGAAAATAAAATGATAATATATAATCAAATAAAATTGAATATTTACCTCAAAAAGGAGGTATAAGTTACTAGCTAACTCACTCTTTATCTTTTCAATCACCAAGGATTTATTAAGGCCTACTAATAGGCCTTAATGGTGCTGCTACACGAAGAAGAACTGCAAACATAAACCTTGCCCCTATGAATGTCTGAACTGTAGCAGAGTTAGTATCTAAGGAGATGCAGGGTACTAAGAACATTCTGATGCTCATTAGCTTGTCATTTTCTTTTCTGCAACCTCCCTGTATTTACTTTCATTATATTTTTCTGATTCTCATTAACACTTTAACACCTAACTGGTTCTGTTGTTTCTGTGGGTATCTTATTTTAAGTCCCATTCTTCCCTATATTGAGACTTCAGAAACTCTTGACTCTTTATAGGGAACTGAGTTTCCCTTTATTTTATCTGTACTCTGCAACCTTCCTTATGTGTCATAACTTAATTTCTTTTTGGAAAGTATGCTAAGACTATTTTTCCAAGGCCACAGACTCTGGGACTAAATTCACAAATATGACTTTAAGAAGACAAGTGAGCCACCTCAATTTGAAGTCCTACAACGGATGTTATATGTTGCCTTGCCCAGTTTTCCTTGACAGGGTGGTCTAGGAATTCATAACTTGACCAAAGCTCTAAGGACCTGTCTGTTGTATGGCCCAGCTCCCCTCATAGAGACTCTTACCATTTTAATTGTATGAATATTTTTAAAATGAGGTGAATGTGGAAATAAATAGTATTTGGAACTGTCAACTTCTCTTAGTCATCTTAGAAAAGGGCAATTTCTGGAAGTATATAACCTTAAATTACTTTGGAATTTAAAAAATCATAAAAATTAGTGAGTGTATAAATAATGAAACACAATAGCTACCATACATTTAATTACTATGGCATACAAGGCATTATTCAACTTTATTACATATGTTCTTATGTATTTCTCATGCCAATATGGCAACATGTGCTTATTACCTTTATTAATAGGTGGGGAAGGCACAGGAAATTTAAATAACAAGAGACATTGGGATCTCCAAATGTTTTGTTCTTCCTACAACATCACACTAGCTCCAGAGTTTTAATAAGTATGTAGGTATGCTGGAGAAAGCAGCACATGCTTTGAAAAGACTTTGACTTTAGATTGAAAGGATATAGCAATTATAGATATTGATGTGTATCTGTTTGTAGAAAAGAACATTCTATGCAAGAAGGTATTTAATTGGGGGTATAGAGAAGAAGAGGGAGTCATTTAATAACAATCTTCCAAGGATATAGCAAAGAGAAAGATTACATAGTTATTCTTTATTATCATCAGGAACAAGGAATTAAAAGGATGGAGGTAGAAGAAGCTGGCAATTAAAATGTTTGCAATGTTTTACACACCCATTACAAGGAGCATCACAATACCTAATGACAGATCAAAATTTAAGTTAATTAATTATTAACCAATATAAATGTAACAGGGAAGGAGAAAGGGAATGTCTGTGGGTTCAGGTACCATTTTAAAGAAAATCATTTTAGCTACTTGTATAAAAAACAAAAACAAATCTATAAATAAATTGCATATAAACATATGTAAATAAATAAGTCTAATTTTGGTATTTTCTGTATATAATATATATTAATATATATTAATTTTGTTCTAGAAAACTATTTTTTCACAATTCCATATTTTCTAGATCTCAAGCTAACAAATACCATGTTGTCCCTGCTTAAATGCAACAATAACTCTATTGACCAAATGTTATTAACTCTTTTGTTGGAAAAAATGGTTCATCTATATAGAGTCCATCTGTATTATAGCATTATGTTCTGAAATTGTCAAATAGCTGTCTTCCTAGTCCATATCTAAGATAGAATAGTAGAAGCTATACTGGACAACCCAAGAACTCTATTGCCTTAATAGTGCAGCATAAATGGTCTTAGATGCCTTAACATTACCTTTTAGCATCAAGTAATAGTGATCCCTGTCATCAGAGAAACTGCTGATAGCATTAGATATCTAAGAAATAGACAGGGGAGTGATGCAAGTGGAAACATTTAAAAGTATAAATTACTATATATAAATGCCTAATAGAATTATTTGTGGAAGAATATTAACACATATCCCTTCTATGAAGAAGCTAGATTCCAAAGACTCAGAAGAAATCTCTTGTGTCGTTGTTCCATAACTTTATTTTTCCCTGAATGGGTAGTCATGGGATGAGGCTGGTCACTGTATAATCACTCACTAATAGAAATCAGAACCAAGTTAGTACTCTGTGTGAAAGAACTGAAAAATAAGTTCAAATAAAGCCAGCTTCCAGATGCCAAGAATTTGAATGCACAAATGTGCTCAAGGAGAAGCAAACAAAATGTTACACACTTCATAATGAATGATAAAAAAAAAAGCACACGTTTTTCAAAGTTTTATGTGTTCTTGTTTTGTGTTGCTTTCCTAAAACAGTGGAGGCGCTCCATTTGGGAACATTAATGGCTGCCCATGGATACTTCTTTCCAATCTCAGATCACGTACTCACGCTCAAGGATGATGGTACCTTTTACCGGTTTCAAGTAAGTTGAAATGAAAATGTTCTTTTACATTAAACTAGAACCTGGCATTTTGCTGGTTATTCTATTTTTCTTAAACAGAACTTTTGAGAACTATGCCTTATTTTTCCTTGACTTAGGCTTTTCAGAAACTAAAGTTAAGACATAAAAAACAGAGAAGATGGGAAAATGCTTAGTCCAGATAATTTGTGAAAGCGAAACTGTGTAATGATTGAAGTCATATTTTAATGTAAACTTAAGGAAAATTTACAAAATTACTTAATGGAATCCTGGAAGATGGGAGTCTTTTGTTCCTGCAATGCATCTAACTAATAGGAAGTAAGTTGAGAAATGAAACTAAATTATCATACCCTGGCCACTGCCTGTGATCCAGAACTACCTTTCAGTCCAAGTAAGCTCTTAAGGGAATGCTTTAAGCTCCCAGATAGAATTTAACTATTTATACAAGCACTGGACTTGTTCATGTCTGAGATTTTTTACAAGTCTGTGAAGACTAACTTGCATAAACTCCATCCAAGACAGGAGGATACCTTAGATAATATGCAAACTGGTGAGTCACTCTGGCTCATTTCCAAATGACATAGATGCAGTTATTCTTTTGAGAAATGGTTGTAGACTCATTTCCATGATTGTGCATGCATCCAACACTTGGTTCACAATGATGTAACAAAAGTGTACTCTGTATTTCATTAGAAATAATGGTTAATTCATAACTGATGGGTAGATTCCAGCCTATAAAATTAAAGTGCATATAATGCCAGAGTTCACTCTCTAGCTTATTGGCTGAGGTTATTTTTCTGAACAATCTCCTGATTGTTCAATTTTTAGAGATTGCAACATTTTCCCCACTTGTTTTGAATATTATTAGATGCTCTTTGTCTGAAAAATTGAAGAATAGCAATTTGATTGGCTAAACTTTGTTTGGAAAGACAGAGAAAAAAGAGCAAATATGCTTAAAAATTATTTTCAAGTATCTGGGCTGGAGTTGTAGCTCAGTGGTATAGTGTTTGCCTAACGTGTGAGATATTGGGTTTGATCCTCAGCACCACATAAAATAAATAAATAAAATAAAGGTATCATGTCCATCTACAACTAAAAAAAATTTAAAAAATTATTTCCAAAGATCATTGGCTTCCTAAAACTCTCTCACTGCTATTTCTTTAAGACTATTTTATCTCAATGCAAATAAGCATAGAGTGTTTTTGCATTAATTGCTGGTAACAAGGCAATCTCCTGAAACTCTCATACTAATCTTAATAGTCAAGCACTTTATAGCAGCAATTTTTTGTAATTTAAAAACGTTGTAAAATAATAGTCTTTATATGGCTAAACTTTAATGGTAGCTTGAAACAACCTATTGTTAAGGTAACTTGTGGTCTTATGGGTTTACATTTTAATATATAGGAAATATTATTGACTAGCACATACATTGCTTTTATGTGACTATTACTTCTTGGTTTTTAAAAGTCTCTTACTATTGCAGAATTAAACATTTCCCAAATGATATTATTGTTATATAGAATTTTCATATACAAATTGGAAGTAAACTTAACAAAATTCTCACAAATTCTAAAGGAAAGTTTGGTTTATGTTTGCAAAAGTTAAAACTTTTTATTTATCTTCAAAATCAGTATTAATGGTAAAATTATCTATATGTCAAAAAAACTATCTATAGGGAAAACAGAATATATTCTATCCCTTGAGAATTATCTAATTCAAGAATTTTCTATGAAACAAACTAGGTCAGACAGAACCCAACATTAGTGATGATGGGTTGAATTAGCGATAACGTGAGATTTTTATCTCTACTGTTGTCATTCCAGACTGAAATTAGTAGGCAGACAAGGTATAAAGGTCTTAGTCATGCTCATGAGTCAAAAATGAGCAAAGCTTGGAAGGCATCACGTACATTCAGGAAAAAAAGAAAGATATTTTAAAGAATTTTTCAAATATAGCAACAGAATAGGTGCAAACAGCATATTAATTTAATGACTACAAGGCATAGTACAGGGTTATAACATTCAACGGACTGATGAATATATGAAATATGTGTGTGTGTGTATATATATATATACATATATATAATGTACATACACATCTGTAGTAGTATCTAAATATAATAGATACTATTACTATTTAAAGATACTATTTATAAATGATTAATGAAGCATAGAATCCTAAAACCAAAATTTTAAAAAATCAAAACCAGAAACTCAGGGTTAATTGAATTGTTCCTGTAATATCTATCAAGGCATTAATCAATCTATATTTGGAGAGCTCTAATAATAGAAAACACATTATTGGTCAAAGTATTCACTTTCCTTTTTATGTTGGTTCCAAGCAACAGAAAGGTCTTTATTACATTGAATTGAAATTCAAGTCCTCAAAAGGATTTTAAAATTCATGAATTAAAATGGAAAACGTTAGGATGCCATGTTTGCTATTCATCCAGTGAATGATGGATAGTGCAACCATCACTTAAAATCCAAAGAGCTTCTAGGGCATAAGTTCAAGAGAAACAAAACTCTTTTAATTTCATTGGCATGCCACAGTATATTTGTCTCAAATTTTCAGTGCATGTTTTAATCAGAGGTAAACTTACAATTATCTAATCATCCTCTATTTGCTAATGAGAATTGAGATCTGACATGATTCTCCAGGCAGGTCTCTGTTATAACTCTCATCACCTTTAATGGATGTGCCACAGTTAAGCAATGACTGAACAATATTAGATGAGTTTTTGATAGATAAGGAAACCAACAGTGAAAAACACTCTCTTGCATTAAAATTTCCTAAAGTGTAGTAGTACTATGAAAATAGGTTTTTAAATTTCAATGACCTAAAAGGTCATTTTTCTCAAATACTATCCATCAGTAGAAATCATAACATTTTTTTTCCTAGGAAAAATCCTCCAGTGTTATAAATATTGGCTTTGTGACATTTCCATGTAATACCACAAGACAAAATTCTTTATCTTTTATTTTCACAACAATGAAATTTTCAATAAAGTAAATGACAATAGAGTTAAGAATAGATGAAAACATTCCTTTCATTTTGAGGGGAAAAAGTATATATGTCTGACCAGTCTGACTAGGATAGATATTTTACATTTAGATAGATTTGTATGCATGGACATGTGCATACACACACACACACACACACACACACACACACACACACACAAAAGAAATACAAAAAGATTAATGCACTTTATATGAAATATCTCAAAAGCCAGCATCCTAAATGAAAGCATGCTTTTGGTTACTTTATTTTTCTATGATGCTCTCCTAGAATCCTGATCCCTTTTTTTTAAGAAATCAAATCTTTCGGAACTCTGCCTCCTACAGAGGCAAGTGGAATTGGGGGAGATGAGCATGTTTCATATAAGTCTTAATAGCCCCTTTATTTTGTGGTTCACTTTTTTTCTTCTAAATCCCAGATGTGATTTCATTCATACCTGCACAAAACTACTATTAGCTTTTTTTATTATTATTATACTGTAGTAATTCCCAAGAAAGAGTAGAGGTTAAGTCAAAATCCCCTGGTGTTCTCATTCAGTTTGGAAAGACTTCCTCTCCCAGAAAATCAAACAGTTCTCCTCAACTATTCTTTCTAGAGAATCATTTGTTTACAGATAGAATGGTCAGATAATCAGAGATTTCCCAAAATGTGCTCATTGTGCATGGCTTGTCAACATACTTAATTAATAAGTGCAGTGAACTCCACAAAGCTGATGTCTGCAATCACTGTTCTGTTCAGTCCTGAGGCATCATCATTCCAGGAAATAGGGTGAGAGAAGCAGACAAGTGGTCATCATGCCTTCTTATGATCTGTAGGAGCAGTGAGCCAAGATAAAGAGTTCTTTTAAAAAATATAAAATGATAATGTTAGTGATAATAATAGTTTTTCTTGATCAAACATTGTCTTTATAGTCAATCAGTTCCTAGAATTTTACAGAATCAGAATTCTGCCTATTGTTCAAATAAGACATTATTATTTTGATAATGATCTCTGGCTTGTTTAGTTTAAAACTTTAGAGCAACAAATGTCCTTATGAAAGGAATATTTGAAGAGTGAAAGTAAAACGCTGTTTCAATCTAGTTGGATAGCTTTGAGATCTGCATTATATAATTAATAGAGCCAGGAAAATGATTGCCAGACCTCAGGGGAAGATTTTTGTCAATTGAGCTTTTTGTATCCATCAAAGGCAATGTTGAGAGACATGGTAGATAGAAAACAATTGGTTATTTTTAGACAATTTTCATCACAAGTCTTGCTGAGTATAATACTCTACTTTCAGTCCTCCCTGTGGATGAAAACTTTTTTGTTTAAATGTTGCAGTCAGAACTTTTATGTCCATTGGCTAGAATTGCAGCAGTGTATAGCATTTAAATGCCTGCTGGTACAGCATATATTTAAAAGGTTGAGCCATTGGGCAGAAAATAAATGCAGATGCAAAATCTTACAATGTCTCTCTTGGAAATTGTTCTGAGTTATAAAACATATTAACTAACTGTTCTAGATAATTGTTGACGATGAATACAGCTAATAAATCAGAAATACACCAAATTTTTATTTGTCTAACCTGACTTTCACTTCTCTTTGTTCCACAGACACCCTATTTTTGGCCATCAAATTGTTGGGAGCCAGAAAATACAGACTATGGTTAGTGCAATATCTCATCATTTTATTATTGATTGTCAGTATGTCTGGATTAATGTGTACTTGCATTTTATTGCATTTGTCAACAAGAAAGGGAAACCATAATTCTCAGTTTGGGATTAATATTTCTAACATTAAATTTACAAATGGCCTTGTTTGGAAAGTCATCAAACCTAATGGTAACTTTTTCCATGTTATACTGCTCTTTGCAACTGTAGAGAAGATTCTAAATCGATTAAACAGTTATAAATAAGTTTAAAAAGGTTATTGTTATTTTTTCATGGTACCCTGGATTACTAGAAAGAACAACAAAAGATCTTAAAGAGCAAGAACTCTATTTCAGATCTCTCACTTTGCTGTGTGGTTTTTGGCAAGTCCTTTGACTTCTCTAGACTCCACTTTTCTCACTAATACAGGAGGCATTTTGTTGTTGTTGTTGTTACCAGGGATTGAACTCAGAGGCACTACTGAGCCATATCCCAAGCCCTATTTTTATATTTTATTTAGAGACAGAGCCTCACTGAGTTGCTTAGCGTCTCTCTTTTTTTTGAGGCCGGCTTTGAACTCACAGTTCTCCTGCCTCAGCCTCCCAACCTGCTGGGATTATAAGCATATGCCACTGCACCTGGAAAGCCATCTTATAATTCTATAAACAAAAGGGTTTATTAAATATGAAGAGGCCAATTGCAAGCAAAATAAAATCAATCACAATTTTAATCCTAATCAATCACATTCAGTGAATTTAGCATAAATTTGATATAACAACCATGATTTCAATTAAACACAAGAAAAAAGTAAGTACTAAAAATGAATACTACTAAGTATTCACTCTCTTCCTAAAAGCGACAATTTTCAAAAACAAGATTGGATTTTTTTAGTGTTATTTCTACAAATACTTGTGGAGAATTATTCCTATGCCAATTGCTGCAGTAGGTTACTAGAATAACAAAGGTGACTGACTTCTGTAGCATTGGGTAGCTCATAGGCTAGATGAGAAAGCTGAAAAGAAGTCACCATTGAGTGCCAAGGGAATACAGCAGTGTTATGAGCAACTAATGTGGAAATTTAAAAGAAGGAGAAGTTGACTTTACTTGTGGGAAGTGGGATGGTTTCGGGATGATTTCATACAAGAACTGGAAACGTTTCATCTGAATTTTAAAGGAGACGGGGCTTCTTTGTCAGGCATAGAGGCAAGAAAAGCCTTTGAGGGAAAGAGTCTTAACATGATATGCAAAGGCAGTGAGAGCTTTCACAGCAACTTGGCTTTCTTTGATACTGCTGCCGGAGCAATGTCTTTGGAAGGAAAAGCCTAGGAAAAGCCCTGGAGCACCAATGGAGCTGTCCTTCACTTTTGACATTGCCCAAACTATAATTTAATGGTTCATCCAAGAGTGGTCAGTTGCTAGTTAAAGGAGTCAAACTAACATATCTCACAGAAAAAAAACTAAAATTTAATATTAAAGAGACTAGATGATTCCTTTCCAGTCGTGGAAATGCCAGTTTCTTCATGCAGTAGGAATTGAGCCCAGAACCTGCTGCATGCACTACAATGCTATTCCCCAGTGCACGATGTTGACTTTCTAATGCTGATGGAATAATTCAAGCTAGTATGCCTAAGGAAACTTGGCATTGTTCTTCTCACATACTCAATAAATCAAAATTAAAACACTGCCTCTGCTTATTCTCAGTGCTTCTCTATCCATATTCTGTGGTTTTCATAAATGTGTTGCCGAGATCACAATTAAAGCTCATGTTTTATGACTTTACGTAGATTGATGTTTCCATGGTAAGCCTGAGGAAATGTCATGGCCTACACAGCCCATCATTTATAGAAAATCCCTCAAAGTAGGTCATCCAACATGATTAATGTCATTCAGCTTCTCACTAATTTATTGATGCCCACTTCAGAGGTGGTCATCTTCTAAACTTTTTCCTAAAATCTAAAAAGCCTGCTTGTTAACTAATTGCAGACGTAGTCTTTAATTATTGTATTTGTTTACCCCCCGAATATAGTCTTGTTTGTATGTAGCTGGTATTAATTATATATAAGCAAAGAATAAAATATTCAATATGAGTTCATGTGGTGGGGCAGGGGGGCGATGAAGAGATAGAATTGAGGATGATTCAGATACTGTAACTCTCCTTCAAGCAATGCTGTTTCATCTTCTGTGATTTTTCTTTTTTAGGTGCAAATGAATTATAGCAGCAATTTGAGTTATCCAACATGTAAAGTCCTACTGCCATTTGTTTAAAATACACTGTTATAAAAGCTGCACCCTTCTTTTAAGATGATATTGAAACCATGATGTACTTAGGCTGGTGCAAGTACAATGCATGGTGACTACTTCGACTGCAATTTCTAAGACAACTTTTGGGCAAAAAGGCTTATATTGCATAAAACAGGGTTAAAAAAAAACAATTTATCTCACTCTATTCGCATTCCAACTTATTTTTCTATCACTGATTTGAATTTACTGTGTAGGTTCTGCAGAACATAAAACTTTTATACATCAGTTTATAAGGAAAAATACTTTTCCATGGTTACCTTGGTCTTATAGAGAAACAGAATGTATTTATTATGACTAAGATAAGATGAATAAATATACAGGGTCTACATTTCAACGAACCCTACTTTTTGAAAATCAAGTTGGTGCTGGGGTGTAGTTCAGTGGTAAAGCACTTACCATGTGCTAGGTAAGGTAGATTTGATCCTTAGCACTGGGGGAAGAAGAGGACCAAGAATACTGTTGAAAATCAGATTCGATAAGATATCTGATATTTTTCACACAAGTACAAAAAAAAATTTATTCCAAAATGGGATTCCCCAGGTATATTTGCATATAGCACACAAAAAATATACAAAAAAAAAATACTCAACGTCTTTAGCAGTCAGGGAAATACAAATCAAAACTACACTGACATTTCATCTCACTCCAGTTAGAATGGCAGTCCTCAAGAAGAAAAATGATAAATGCTGGTGAGGATGCAGGAAAAAGGAACCCTGGCACACCGTTAGTGGGATTGTAAATTAGTACAACCACTGTAGTAATCAGTATGAAATGAAATGTCGTCAAAAGACTAGGAATGGAACTAAAATATGATCCAGCCATATCACTCACTCCTCAGTATTTATCCAAAAGAATTAAAGTCAGCATATTAAGTGATACATGTATACCCATGTTTATAGCAGCACAATTCACAATAACCAAGGTATGGGAGCAGCCTAGGTGTCCCTCAACAGATTAAGAGAGAAATAAAATGTGGTATATGTACATAGTGGGGGTTTATTCAGCCATCAAGAAGAAAGAAATTATATCATTTACAGTGAAATGGTTGGAACTAGAGAACATCATGTTAAGCAAAATAAGCCAGACTCAGAAAGTCAAAGAGGTTGTATGTATATTTTTTTCTCACATGGGGAAGGTAGAGAGAAAAAAAAAAACAGGAAAAAGGGATCTCATGAAAATAGAAGGGAGACCAGTAGGGCAAGGGAGGGGATGAAGGAACATAGGAAGAAGGAGCAAAAGGAGGTACTGAGGAATGAAATTGACTCAATTATGTAAACATGTATGTACAAATATGTCACAATGAATTCCACTATTACATATAATTATTGTGCACCAGTAAAACGTTTTTTAAGAACTCAAAGAATGATGTGGCACAAACTTCTATTGAGGGCCAGAGGCCAAGGCACAAGAGAGCTCAAGAGAATTTTGTTGAAAGTTAGAGATAGTATCAATGGTAGCTAACTGAAGCGGAAGCTAGAGACAGGGTTTTTTGTCACTGGTATCTCTGAACACACATGTTGCACATTGAGTGTCCTGGAATTGAACACACATCTAACAACATCTTTAGACTGACTTGAATAGTTAATGTCAGAATAGAATTTAAACCCCAAGAGATTAAATTACCTGTAAAGATAAGAGCCCCTCTATTTGTTTGATTCACCTCACTTATCCTAACCAAACCCCAACCCTCTATGTATTTAAAATTTTGACATTTTATTCATCATAAGTTTTTTTTAATTATATTTTTTTCAAATATTGTTTATCTTGATTACACCCTAAAACTTTGTACCTGAAGTGTCTGTTCTGCTCCCAGTGAAAGCGCAACTGATGTCACATTTGGTTCTTAGGTAACCAAAGTGTGAAAACCAGTTGAATGAAGACAATTAGAAGGACCTACAAATATTTACCCAGGAGGGTGTGGGAGGCATATTTAGTATGGAAGGTCTGTGGTGGAATTTCCTGGTGTGTTTACTGAAACCAACGCATGACAATTGCAGAAAGCAGCATTTTTTTTTCTCAGTATAAAGACCTTCCAACTATGAAAATTGTTCAGAACTTTGCATTATCTTGAAGAGTAATGATCTGTATCTTAGTAAATATTCAGCCAAAGGCCTTTCTTTTCTCCAGGATTTTTGTGGAGGTTTTCAGACCTATAAGAGAGAGATGCTCAGGGACCTACAAAACTAGATAGGAGTGAGCACCACTTAAGGATATTGAGAGTTAATATATTTTTTCATTGATGGCAATGAGGCTATCAAAAGCACTGCATTCTAGTTGGATAACCACAGTAATTATATATAGTAGTACTCCTATGAACTGTAATATTGGAAAACTGAGAATTCACCATGTTGGAGAAAATTTTTTAAAAATTATTTTTTAAAATAGTGGACATTATGTATTTCTTGACCAAAACCAGAGCAGTGATTTTATATTTATTTCTGACATGAACAAAAACTGATTATTTTTCATTTTGATTCCAAATGGCACTTAATTTCCATAGTTACTTATTTTAGGAGTTTCATGGAAGCCTTTACAGTCCTATATTATGGTCCTCTATAGAACTTTCCAAGTTTTTATCTTTGGATTTTAATATCTATTTTTGCCAGCTGTTCATAGTTTCTAAAATCATGTTTCAGGGAGCACATTTTTAAACCTAATAGACTTCATTTTAAAAGAATTTTAAGGTTTATATAAAAATTGAGCAGAATATACAGA